TCTCTCCCTCTCTCTCTCTCTCTCTCTCTCTCTCTCTCTCTCTCTCTCTCTCTCTCTCTCTCCCCCTCCCTCTCCTCTTTTTAGTGTCTATGACAAGATAAGGCTCTTGATTTTGTTCATCCTCCACAAAAAAGGTAAGGGAGAAGCAATCAAGCAATTAATACATTAAAAGAAAAACAAAATTTTACATGTATATGTACATGTATGTACATGCACATACACATTTGTACACTATTCTACTCTTATCCCCTAGGGGGGGACAGAGTCTCCTGACACTAGTTCATTATCTATTGTTTCCCTTTGTTTCCTTTGTCTGCCTGCTGTGGAAGTGATTGGAAGCTATTGTGTAGTCTATTAGGCATAGGATGTTTAGAATAGCTGAAGTAATAATAATAATAAACAATGGGGACTAAGTGCTTGTACACGTAGTCAGTTCTAGTCTTGTCTTGAGTTTTAGAATCACTACAATCCATTATTTACAATATCTAGTGTGCATGTACATGTACATGTACATACTGTTACTATTGTTATTATTATTATATAAGTGGCCAAAACAATAGTAGAATAGTAGTAAAAAGGAAAGATACTATGACCATCATATGCAAGCTAAAGCCCCCCCCCCCCCCATTTACAAAGCGGTTGGCTTGAAACCAGTTTAGAAATAAACCAGCTTACAGTGCAGCAGTGCGGTTTAATGCGGTTTGAAACTGCCTTATCCAAACCACCTCAGGTAGGTGGTGTGAGATAATCAAACCAGTTTAAGTGCTGATCAGCAGCTGTATTATGTATGCAATGTAGCATTGTAAACTGATTTAACTACAGTTAAGTGTGGACACAATAATTATTGAGCTTGTTTCTGAACTGCTTTGATGTAAACTTGAACAGGAGCTTAATGTGCATGTACATTTACATGTATGTCAATATCATTCATTAAGATAGAGTGACTTTTAAGTATTATCAAGTTATCATTATTATTATCACAATAATGACACTTAAGACGAGATACACACACTTTTAGTTTATTGCATTAGTCGTTTGGATAATTGTAAATAAATATTTTTATGATTTCAAACGATTATTATCCCGACTGTCATT